TAAGTCATAGAAATCCGTGCGATAGAGAAAGATGGCTATAATGAAGGCGTCTAATAGTCACCGCCCATTTCGCCCTTCCACAAGTAAGAAGTGGATCTTATCTATGGAAGGGCGAAATGGGCGGTGACTATTAGACGCCTTCATTATAGCCATCTTTCTCTATCGCACGGATATCTATGACTTACTTTATCCCGCTAACGTAACGGCCGATGAACCATGGGGACTTTCCGACCCTGTGTATGCACACTCGACGCAAGATATAGGTTTCCAATCTGAATCGTATTTTGTTTGAAATATGACGGCTTAACCGCTTGTCTGTATGGGCGTTCCTATTAAACTCGTGTGGCAATTTTTTACCGTCACATCTGACATTTTACGAGTTTTGTACAAAAATGCTTTCCTGGTAAATTGGCATTTTTAAAATGGGACTAATCGGCAAACTCTTATAGCAGACCCCGTATGCATTTTTTATTATCTTGTTTCTATTAAAAGAGCTGCATTTACGTTACAATAGAAAAATCAATTCATTCTAGTTAATAAATCTTGCGAAACGTCTACTACCTACTTACGAATAGTTAGATTGAATAGATTTAAGAAAATTGAAAATTTTAATTTTTTTTTAAATTTTGAAAACCCTGCAGCTTGGAAACGGCGGCCTTAAGAGCCTACGTGTGTGTACCAAAATTTACTTAATTTTAGCCACAGAATGGGCCTCTGGTTTTTTTCTGTACGCCATTAATGAACACTGTATAGGTGCCCGCAATGAAATCAGTTGAAGTTTTTTATAAAGGTTGTAAAGCATACATAAAAATGGCCTCTTGACTTTTTCTTATACTATTAAAATTAACAGAGTTAGGGAGGCTGGAAGTTAAGGGAAGATTTCAGAAATTTAAAAAAATCATAACAAGCAGTAAAATGAATTAATTTTGTAAAAATGTAAATTTTCTTTTCAAAGAAATAAATATAATTTTTAATTTTTAATAAGAAAGTTATGTCAATTTCAAATTTTTAATCGTTAATTTTAATGATGTAACAAAACTAAAACAATTTTTTTTTCTATACTATTCGATTGATTATTTAAAATAATGAAAAGTTGCCTTCGAATTTTTTT